CGTTGCTTATCGTCGCGCTAATAATTTTCTCTGGCTGGATATCTAAAGCGCGTAGTTTTGATCGAGCATCTACTAATACACACGTAAGAATCCGCAAAGAATTTTGCAATTAAATAAGGCAGGCTTCCGCCGCGTGATGAACGACGCGCGGGCACTTAAGTCAGGTATTAACGTACGTCGTGAAACTCGTTCATTTCCAGGTTGCCCGCGGACACGCGAGCACCGCGGCATACAAATCGATGTCGAAACCCGGGCGTTTTCCATTAGCTCCAGTCGTTTCCTCGTGCAATCTCGCGCAGCGCAGTCTCCGCGACATCCGCGATATCGCGAAAAAGGGATCGCGTATCCCTACGTAAACGTCGTTCGCGAGAGCAGCGTCACGAGACCGATTACGCTTGATACGTATAACGTCGCTAGGCATTTCGTTGTAAGCTGCACTTCGAAAGGAAGCTCGCACGAAAATTACATCAGAGTTTCGCCCGCCGTCACTGTTTCGTCACCTCCAACGATTTTATTATGATTAAATACGCTTTCATCGATCGGATAATTGCTCCGCCAATTTTCTTTAATGGATTTCCGTTTGTTCGTTATCAAGAGTGACCAAAGTACTCGGGGTGAGGTGGAAATTATCACGATTACTTGCTGAATACGGAATGAAAGGCACGTCTTACATGGATTTCATTTTGTGTCTATATATACATGTATATATGTATAAGCAAGTCTTTTATTTTCTTATAATAATAGCAATAAATGTTCCCTAATCTATTATTTATTGATAATAATAAATTTTTATATAAAAAAGCCGATAAATTTATCGAATCGTTTTAATAAATGATTTAATATTAATTTAAGCATCTTTATAATATAGCATTATTCAACTTTTCCAATGTTTTCTTCATTGTTTCTAATTTTTATTAATAAAAATGTATATATTTGCTTGGCAAGCAAATATTATATAGATATTCCTTTATAGATATTCCTTTTGGAGTTTTGATTAAAAGAAAATTATATAAATGTTCCTTTTTCAAGAATGTTATAAGCATTCAAATTGGGAATATCATATCCAATTGTATTGTTCACATATACTATGGCATCTAAAGATTGAATAGCGTTCATTCTTTAATGGATAAAAAATTGCTATTCGACAATATAATGGCATTCTGGATAATGGACTCTATAGAATTGCTCAAATCATGCAAATTATGAAATATCCGGAGCTATGAGTCGTTGGCTGAGTTTAATATTGGATGCTTTAATATTCACGACAGCTGCCTTTATCGCGTCGTACTGGAAACTTCCAGATAAAGCGTTTTATTACCGCTCGCAGGAAAAGTCCAGTACTAAAACACGTCAGCTTTTCATTTACACCAATAGAATGATTTATAAATTTTCTTATATCCCTTTAACATACAATATTCTTGTTTCGTCATCGCATCTTCAGCCCGATAATTCCAAATAATTGACACGATTTACATAACCACGTATTCACGACTAGCGGCGATTACGTCCTCATGATGATTATATATATTATCTTAACTTAAGAATAGTTTCAAGTAAATGATACACCACAATGTCTTCATTGCAGTGAAAATTTTTCAAGACTTTTTTCGTAGATTATCGTACTCAAAGACGGAACTTTGTAATTAATCAGAAGCAATAGGAAGTGATCCCCGGGTAGTAATTAAAGATTTGCAAGTTTTGTTAATATACCGACTCAATAAACCAATTTTATTATGTAAATTCGAAGAAGGTCGTGCAAACCGATAACGAGTTATAAATTCGATCCATGTCGTGAATAAAATGAAATTAATGGTAAATATTGCATTAATGACAAAAACGTGACGACACGTTTGCCATTAATGTGTAACCATAATTTATACAAATATGCATTCATATACATATGTATAATATATTGTTGCATATTTTTATAAATTATAGTTACACATTGAAAGTGAAATTGGATGTGCAATATATGCTTAATAAAAATTAAATTGATGCGAGATAACGGCAGGTAAAAGAAAAGGAGGGAAAAGAAAAATTGCAGAATTAATCCACACAGTCACTTTAAAAAAGAATTTACGTTAATAGCAGATCATTATTCTTCCAATACACCGGTGGTCGCTCTAAATTGGCGAAAATTGTATCTAATAACTTTGTTCGTCGCGATTCTTTAACGTATACAACTCGGTGGTTCAGGATAGAATTTAATTTTCTTTTGTTCAGTGAAGATTCAATTTTCTTTGGTAAAAGTTGGATCGTGCAAGACAGATTGAAAAACATTTACTTCTTTAATAAATAATAAAAATTAAAAAATGTCCGTGCTTTCATACGATATTAGCCGTGCTGGAATGAAGGATAGGTACACAGCGTTACACGACATACAGAATATGAAATATTAATGCAATTAGCTTTGCATGAAATATTAATGCAGGCTTTAACGTTTATGAAATCTTCAATTTTTATTTTTTTTTGCCTTCAACAATTCATATTTACATGAATTTGCCAGCTTTTGACCTAAAACTTGGATTTCCTCATATTTCTGTACTTTACTATATTTTTAATGTGATACTCAGACGTGTACTTTGCTTTTTATGTAAGAAGCATACTCGGTCAGTACTTTGAATACAAAATGAGCGAAAAAATGTAAAAATCTGAAAATATTATCTAATAAAAATACTAAAAAAATATTTCAAAAATATTAAAGAATTAAGCAGTTAATATAACTTGTAATCATTTTCAACATTTATTCTAACATTCGATCTTCTTCTAATCCACACACACACAGCAACATAATTAAATTAATTCCTTAAGATAGAATTCTTAACTTAGGAGTGGTCACTTGATACTTTTTACGAAAACGCCAATTTAGAGTATTTTCATACACGAATTAAAATCATTTAACTAATAATTTACAACATATTGTAAATTATACATATTCTATATTACTAATTGGTTTTTAATTTGTTAGTATTGTAATGTTCTCAAATATGGATATGATTTAATCACAATTCCATGAAAAAAAAAAAAATAAGAACCAAATATTAAATGGAATAACAACATTAGATAGATTGTTATAATAGTATATGTATTTCAAACAAATAAAATTTTAATTAATGTAACGATTTTTTACTGTGGATTTCCGATAGAATTGCAAATTTAAAAGATTGTAAAAAACAGTTATTAAAAAAGAAAAAAATACATTAAATGTGATATCCATACAAAACATATTTTACAGCAATTCACATTCTTTCGCCTCTGGGGTGTAGTAAACATACTTTATGCAACTGTTGTCATAAATGATCGCATCAGCGTGAATAAAAAATTTTACATTGTTCTATGTAGAGTATCATAACAATGTCACCTTAATGTGTCGAACGAAATTGCATGCTATACGGGAAACGCGCACGTGCGTACTCGTGTCCTAATTTCCGCGGAATGTACGTAGAAACAATGTTCGACCAAGCTGCGTGTATCTGTAGTGTCCTATTATTGAAGAGAAGATACTTTGTGAAAAAAAGGGAAGAATATAGATAAGCACAGACCGCATCATCCCGGAGGCAACCAGTACAGAGACACAAGGAAAGCTCACAGAGATTGTTTTCCGCGAAGATTTCACAATCACCTTCGTAAAAGTGAGACCTTTTGGTGCGACTGGTCTTCATTTTCCGTACTTTGCATAGTACATTACTTCGGGCTTGAAAAAAAGATATAAAAAAAAAACAGACAGGCAAGTGACGGGAAAAAAAACACGCAGCACACGCATATTTAACTTTCAGAACTTTTTACCTACATAAATGCAAACTCGTATTATTCTACCCATAGCGTGCATCATAGCGGTCGACACATACGTACATTGACAGTTTCAAATAATAGGAAATAATTAAGGTACCGCATTAATTAATTTTGCATCATTCTAAAATTGGTCAGCTTTTGAGGTTTGCACGTTCAGTTATAAATTTATATTTTCGATATTGAATTGAGGAGACATTAAAGCAATGTATATTCACAGGATAATTTATTAAGGCTTGTTCAATAAGTCCCTTGTCAGTATTGTAAGTTTTACCGATAAATCAATGTATCCGTGTATATATATGAATCTCGACTTGATTAAAAATCTACTACGAAGAGGACATCGATCTAAAGACAAATTCTAATTTTAAAGACAGATTTTTTTGGATTATCTTTTGTCAGAATATCATTCAAGCTTTAATTTTCAAATTAATTAGTAATTTTAAGAAATACGCTATATTATCTGATAAATTAATATACATATATGTCACTAATTAGTTAGTGCAGCTTTATAAATGGGGATTAGTCAAAATGTAATAACCAGGACGGGTTCTATCAAGTTACAGAGATCTCACGCGAGTGTTTCCAACGCAATTAGCGGGCTTGAAAGCCCGTAAGATGAATGTTACCACGAGGTCGCTGTATCACATAGTAATGACCGTTTATGCGCTGTTTGTTTGTTGTGTATATACAACAGCAACTGTAATACCTTTTACGGCTATCTCATCGATCTCTTGAATGCGATGGTACAGATTTTGATTATGACGCACGAGAATCTGATGATGGTTTCTATCATATAATTAAATGGCACACGAATGGATAAACAAACTGATACGACAGAACACAAAATATAGACTGTTAGATATCAAAGTAACAATGATAATCCAATTTTTTGAGTTAAATAACATTTTGTTGTTTTTAACTTCCATATGTCAAAATATACATTAATCTATTTTTGTAATTAATTCCAACGTAAACAACGTCTATATCAACGTATACATTTAGTAAATATAATAATAAACATTGGAGTTAAATTTAATACATTTTCTTGCGTAAAATTGTTTAACCCGTTCCAATTAAATTAACAACGTATAGATTTAATAGAAGCAATGGCGATTTATAAAAATGATTGAAAATGATTTAAATTGGGTATAATTATGATCTTAAATTCTCATTAATGGCATTGTATTTACATCAATAAATGTGCGGAGCGTTCAATGCTTGATATGTATCTTCAGAAGCTATACATACATTCTAAAGATTCTCTTCCCTCGTGAATAGGTAGTTCACTTCACCTATACTGCAAAGATAACGGTATCACGATTGAAAGCCCAAGTGACCACTGTATTACTACCTTTTCTCACGATCCTCGCGATCACCACGTCTAAATTTCTCTACAGTGTTTCTTGTCACGTCGATCTTGGTAGATATATATGTGTTCGAGAATTATCCGCTCTTGCATACTACGGAAATGTACCCGGGAAATATCCACGTTTCGCGAATTTGAGGAAATGCTTTTGGTTTTGTATTATGTCGATCATGTCGCAGAGTTGTGGTTCGATGCTCAAGAATCTGTTCAGCAAATTGGTGGTCACTAGCTCCTCAGATTCATCCTTCGTCGTAGCGATGTACATTCTCGCTTCTCGGACCTGACAATTTAATGTAATGTATTGGAGTGGCACATCAGGATAGACGATCTTAGAAAGCAGCCAAATCGAATATTTCTAATTCGCCGATCTGATACTTTGAAAATACACTGTTATACATCGAAGGAACAATGCTAATTCAATCCTAGAGTTGAATAGAATTTTGTTATTTTTAATTCCCTTGCGTGTGAAAATGTAAATCAATCCATTTTCATAATTAAAAGTAAATGTTTACATTAACATATATACGTAGTAAATAACGAACTTTTGAATTTAATACATTTTCTTAAATTAATTAACTTCGTTGTTTTAGTTAAATTAATGTGACGTATTGAGTAGGCAAGCAGAGTAACGATCTGTAGAAGTGATTAAAAATCATTCAAATTGAGTACAATTTGACATTATAAATTTCACAGTGTGGAATGTTTCATGCTATTTAATAAAGGACAAATTCTGTCCAACTAAATGAAGTGTCGTAATTGATACTCTTCTTAATAATTCTGAATAACAACGTGTGTGAACATCGTGGAAATATTCTTGAAATTCTTATCGTTATTTGACAAGGAAAAATATCATTAATTAACAAAGTTAATTAACAATAGGAATTTCAACGTGATGCTTGATGAATTAAAAAACGATGAGTTTATATGACTCCTCTAGAGGAATCAACAATATGCACAAGGAAAACAGATAGCGGTGACAAACCAAGTCGATATTTTTTCAGAGATACAGAGAAAATCTTTCGACAAAGAATTATTAGAGTCCTGACAATGAATAGTAGCATCGATTGTGTACTTGCAATATCTGCTGTGGTATTGTTATCTATAGAAGTAATAAGTGTGTGTGTGTGTGTGTGTGTGTGTGTGTGTGTGTGTTTGTGTGTGTGTGTACACTCTGTGTATTCCTGTGAGAATGTCACTATCTGTTTAGAAAAAGATAGTTTGATTCACATTGCTTTCTCTCTCTTTAAAGTATCAGTTGAAAAGAGATGCTGATGCAATTCAATATATTACGGTTTCTTTCTAACGGAGCACAGATGCTAAAAGATAAAAATATGCGCAGTTCATATGTACTTATTACGTTACGGTCTGCCTTTTCCTTTTCTAATATGTTTACGTTACAGAAAAATACCGCAAATATGTTACAAGGCATGTGTTGCAAAAATTTAGAAGAGCTTTTATTTCTACAAAAAAGAATAAATTGAAAATTTTCATATTCTATACCATATTTTAATAATTAATATTATTGTTCATTAAAATCGAAAGGTAATAATTGGAATAATACAAAACGTACATGGTCGATCAAGTTACCTGCGAATTAAATTGCCTCGAAATACGATATATACCTAGTTTCGCTTTAATAAATTATAATTCGATATATAAAGTTATATATTGTATTTTAAATCTGATATAATACAGATGAATTGTTTAAAAGCATTAAATTTGCCGATATTGGCAAATTTAATTAATAATCTCGTAACCGAGATCATTCTAATTACACGTAACAATATATCTTGCAGCAACGTACTAACATTTGAAATTCAGCATAAGCTTATTCGCTCTAGCGTGATTTACACGGGGGCGACTTTTATTCGCTAGAAGCCGCGTCTAGTGACGTCATTAATTCGCCAGTGGATTCTCTCGATTCTGCTGCTATTCGCTTGAAGCAAACTTCTTAATTCGTCCGCGAATTCACTGGTGAAAGCTTCTTGTACACGCTTGGTTTTTATTCGCTAGCGACTAAAATTTTGAAGTCGCAACGTTAAGTGATCGCTAGTGATCAAACCAATAACTGATCACAAAGCACAACAACGGCTCGAAGTATGTCATTCGACGACATGATTATTATTATTCTCTGATGCTTATGGTCTGAGAGTGGCAGAGAAGTTCCGGGAAAATTCTCCTTTTCACGCTGACGACTTGAAAGTTCATTCTGGAAGAGCAGCAAGAAACTAGCGACAAGATAGCGACAAGCTAGCGACAAGCGTCGAAAGCGGTACTCGCCATGACTATACGCTATAAGAACGAAGCCGCGTCTAGAAGAAGTTTTTAGTAGCGAATTCGTCACTATGACGTCACTAGACGCGGCTTCCAGCGAATAAAAGTCACCCCGTGTAAATCACGCTTTTGATATTAATCCGTGTTAACTCTTTTGTCGCTGTAAGTGATTATAGTTACCTAACGAAGTTGTAACTTTCACGTGTAAACATGATTAAAACTTCGTGTGGTTTCTAAATGTTATGACAGAATGAAAAGAAGGAAGAAAGACATGTTCAACATTTAATTAATACTCACCATAAATGACCTCTTTATTTCTCGTTTGAGCAACGGGGGTAAGTCTGCTCATCTCACCCAAGTAAAAAGAGTAAATCAATCATAGTGAAGTTGCTTTTAGTTGGACACCCTCAGTAATCGCGAGAATGTCTGTGGAGACAGATGAGTTTGAACGGGAGTACGTCAGATTATGAAAAGGGCAAGCTAACTGGGAATATTTGGTCGACAAGACATGTACGAAGATTTATAACGTGATGAAGAAAGTAGGCTTCCTCTCCAATATGAAAAGCTGCGAATAATATGCAAAAAATTGTAAAACGGATTACATACTTAATACTAACAAATTATGATTGAGTCAGGAATTTCACAAATTTGTCATTACCTCTGATGCTGACGTCAAATCTGTAACAGTTATTGACACTGAGCCTGTCACCTGTGAGATCCATTTATATGTATATATTAATTAAAAGGTATTAATATTAATTTTAAATAACCGATATGATATAAAAAATCATTATAAAAAAAGAATAAATACTAAATTTATTTTTAATCCAAATGTGCAAATGTAATATAAAAAAATTGAATTGTTTAACATTTTTATACAAGATTACTACAATAATAGATAAGAATTAAGATCTGATTGTATTTTCAAATATAATAATGTATTTTTTATTCGTTACTTTACGGAGAAAGTTGAATTGTTTTTACTCATCAGAATTTTTGTTATCTAAACAATGACTGCTTAGGGAGTCAAATAAATCCACCTCTGGAGTTAAAAAAGAATTCTCAATAATTCCTCTTTAATAATTTCTCTGTGTAGAGTGTCATACTGGCCTTATAAATTCATTAAATATGTAAATAATGCTATGTATACATTATTATCTTTAACGCAAATTGTTTTATTATTTAAAAACTTTATCTTTATTTGAAGGATGTAAATATAGAATATTATCAATCTTTATTTAATTGTAAATCATCAAAGTTAATAATGAAAGTTAAAATATAATATTATAGGATGTCAGAAATATAACTCGCGAGTAATGAAATGAGTTATAAAATGATTTACAAAAACATAAATATTTTTATGTATTATGATAATACAATAAGAAATATAAGTACTGGCCGTGACGGTCATATTTTTGATAATATTTATTCCATTGAGAGAAAACATTTAAATATAAAAAATTAATAGCAAAACGTTTCATAATATTGTTGTTCTTTATTGCACTCTCTGTACTTCGCGCCTACAAAATCTTACAAATTATAATCTTCGAGGAATGTAATAAAAACTGCGAAAAAAATATTATGAAAATCCAATGAGAACATAGTATCCGAAATGACGTTAATTAAAGATTCATGTTTAATAATATGCGGCAATATTTTTATACTCACTTATATTAAATTGTTTCTTATTGTGTTTTTATATTATTCACATATATTACTATCGTGGTCACAAGAGACATAAAAAAGGTGACTGCTCATAAAACCGTAACGGCAAAAATGTTGCTGAAAAAACTGAATAGTTACATTAAAAAGTGGACAGCATCAAAGTGAATTTTGTACGCGGAAGGATATGACTGGTACGCGAATGATATTTCTTTGTTTAGTTTTGTGAGATGTTTTCATCGCGCCCTCAAAAATTTGAACGTTAAAAAGTTAAAGTATCAAAATCTAATAAAAATTAATATTCAATTTAAAATTCTCAGATACGTAAAATGTAAAGTCAATATCACTGTTCACTTCTTGTCTAAAATAAAAATCTCAAATTTTATAATAATGAGAGTAATAATAACAGTAATAATAATAATTGAGTTGTAATAGCATACCATGAAGTAGTACCGTCACTCACGATATCTGCGCGTATCTCACGCCTTGAACGTGGCACAGATGGAGTTAGATATTATTACAAGGTTTCGAGTTGATTGTGCTTAAATTATACATTTCGAGATTCGTAATCCCGTTTGCTCGTTAACCACGGTAGTTTGCATGTGTGTCAAGGACAAAGTTTACTTCATATCGCGCAATTATATATTACTGGTCCACAGAATGTAGTTTTCGACTATTTTTACAGCTGATCAATTTGCATGATAAGGAATGTAAACTTCGATTGAGTAAGTTCGCATGATGTCATGTAAAAGAAACTTTTAATTATGTCATATAAATTAAGAATTATTAAAAATGTGTAAATAGTATAATAATAGTAATATAGTGGAAAAAAAATTAATGTGTTTACTGTAGAAAATATCGTGTAACATTTTAATAAATTTTTTATCATTTTGTAGGAAAGAGTCGTAAATGCAATACGTAAAATAAATATTGTTGAAATGAGAAAACATGTCGGAAAAGAGATACCAAGTGTGCCGGAGAGTCACGCACCTTGACGAAGTAATCTCGCTTTATAATACACATAAACTGAATACTTGAGCGGAACTTGCACTCTAACGGATTATAAATCACGGGTGAGATTCATTCCGATGGCAGTTAAACATATCAACAGAAATGTAGTACGAGATGTCACGTAACATTCGATTCCTGTCTCGAGTTCTGAATAAATAAAAAATGTTATGTGGCGCTTCTTGATCTCTTTTTTTCATTTCGGAATCTCTCTAGAAAAATATATAAAATATATATTATATAATATAATATATATAAATTGGTTAATTAAATACACGACAAAATAGCAATCACGATTTATCGAATCCGAATATTATATGACTATAAGCGAGTCCTCTTATACTTTTATTTCTATCGTTATATAATTTTTGCGAGACTTACAATAATCGCCAGGTCTTATTTTCTATAATCTCTGATATCCTTGCGATACAAAAATATGTACAAAGAAACACACGTAAGATGCGTAAACGTTTCTCTATTTTTAATAAGCAGTTACCTAGCTTGGAATGGAGTCCTTCGAGCAGGTTAAATCGATTTCAGAAAAATATCAAATAAATGAAATGGAAGTTATCGATTGCATCAAATCCGATAGCTACTGCGTAAATGTAAATCCTCAATCTTCTTCAATGTAAAGTCCCTTCTTCCGACTATACAGATAGTCACATTCTTTCGACGTATGCAAATCGTCCTCGATCCTTTTAACTCGAACGAATTCAATTTCCCGGACTGATTTCACGTGTATATTCTGTCGTTGCCCCTGTATCACGTAAATGAGTATTCCTAATCGAAATAATTAATATACACTTTGTTTATCAACCAGATAATGAAACCAGCTATAAGCGATAAGATTCATCACATTGACTATTTGCATAGAATTGTCTTGACAAAAAGCTACGTCGTGTATATCCCGAATATCGCGATACACGAATGAATGTTGGTCAAAATTTCGTTAAAAGGCGAAGATGATAAGCACGTTTGTCACATATATGCTGACTACGATTGATTAGGGTCATCCCCGCGGCAACCGATGGACAAACACAAATAAACCGGAGGACACCCTGGAGCGAAACCGTCTGCGAACCGACCTGTCAGTAGACAGCTGACCGCTTTCTAAGCGCAATATCCGCTTTGAATTTCCAGCCGTGTACGGCGGATCCGCAAAGAATTCCCCTGGGAGGAAGTTTCCCCGACGATGCCGTAACGGCAACGGCTACCATCGAGGTTTCCACCCTCGAGTCGTAACTGGACCGCGAAGGCCGTGCCTGCAGTCCAGCGTCCTAGTTCCTTCACACACGACACTTCGCTTCGAGGCCGTATTAACGATATTAAGCTCAATATAGACACGCAGTTGCAGTTAATCTCACAGAGGACTATTCGCCGACGTTTCCTTAAAACCAACGAAACGAACTTTTGCGCCGTCAACAAACTGAAACTGAATGCACTTTCAATGTCCCTCGCCGAGGACGAGCGAAAGATCGCCAATAAGTGATATTGCGCAACGGTCGAAGCTTCGATTTGTATCGAAAATATCTTCCGCGTTCAGACCGAGTTGATTACCTTTACCATTTCCTTCGAATCCTGCTCGCTCGAAGCTCTCAGTTATTTCGGAAGACGCCCCCTCGCTCGCAATCATGATATCCGATTGTTGTATCGCCAAGATTTATATGCTATACGTTCTATCGACAACTTTTACGGTCCACGGAGTAGAAGACACGACAGATGGTCGTACACAGAAACCGACTCAATCGAGACCTGTGAATGTTTGTAAGTTTCATTTGTGGAAGTTTAATTGGAAAATCTTGCGTGACGCGATAACCGTATAATATATGCGATCGATACACAACGACGTATTGTTACTGGCAGCATCTCTATGCTCGATTGAAAGAGGAAACAAATCCACACTCTCTCTATGCACATACGAAAGAAAAGATTCCATTTGCGAAGGCGAGAACAGCTTTTTAGGGCAGTCCATTACGCTTTTCAAGCGATCCGATGCGCGATAACTGCTTTTGTTTCACAGCGCGTGGTTGTAGTTTCTCATTAACGATTCGAGTTATTTAAGGCAGTAGAACACCCTAAGGTGTTACGTCTTAAGATTAATCGTCTGACTTGGTTTTGCTTTCTCTTTTTTTCTTGCATGCCACGTCGCGTCGGCGCAATGCTTTTTCCCCAATTAGTTATAATTAATGGTTGGAAGAATGAAGCGGCGAATGCAAGCGTGAGCAGCGCTTTGAAGACTCTGGGAGAGAAGTATTCGGGTCACCTGGGCAACGTGTGGTCCGTACAAATCAACGAGAGCGATTCCACCGAGAGTCTCGAGACTATATGCAACGCATGGAGCTCGGCTATCAGTAAAGGCGGCGCGACCGTCCCGGATCTGATTCTGGATATGACGATGGCCGACCTGGGTGCCGAAGCATCGAGTTCGTTCACCGCGGCCATGGGGATTCCGACTTTATCCGCTCAATTTGGTCAGGAGGGCGATATTCGCTACTGGAGAGATCTGGATCTTGATCAAAAAAACTACCTGATCCAGGTATCATGTTCAATTGCCTGTCCTGGTAAAAGTCCTGGCAGCGAAGGACACCGTACTGAAGAAAATCACGTCACACAATTTGCACAATGAAATCATGCAATTAAAACATGCAAATCATGTAACGGATTGTTCTAAATTAGTACGCGATTTGTTAAAATTATTACACGTACATCTGAAAAGTCGCACAATATGTTCTTTTTTCTTCCATTTCTATCATTCAATTCTTTAAATTTTGACAATAATAAAATCACATGATGGATAAAATGATTTCTAATATCATATAATTTTTCAAATTACGTCATTTAAAAAAATCATGTACTGATTTGGAACAATTCGTTACGTGATTTACATGTTTCAATTACATGATTTCATCATGTATCGTTGTGACATGATTTTTTTCAGTAGGGCATCTTGCAAAAATATACACTCAATTAAACAATAAAGATCCGAAATAACACTCAAGTTGAAGATTTATTTGGGTGTATTTTTCCATAAGAGATGGCGTATTCACATGATTATAAATGAAATATATTCAACCTGCTTTGACTAGTACACTGTAATTTTATATATCTTTGGTATCTATAGATTTGTAGTATATCAATTCACATGGAATTGTTTCAGTACTAAAGATCCGCTTAGCCTTTGTTTCTTAATTATTGTGCGTTCCCATCGTGATTTAATATAATATTTTAATATTGTTTATATATCTTGCTTTGTATAGATCAGAAATACAAGTATACATTTGTAAATTCCAAGTCAGAATTATCCAACAAAAAAAGAAATCTATAATAACCTCTTCTTGTTTTACGAAATTCTTCAGACGTTCTTCAGATATTTTTGCAGTTTCTCGTAGTTCGGTATTTCATTTCAGGTAATGTCCCCGAATGACCTTGTGCCTGAAGCAATCCGTCAATTGGCAATTCAGATGAACATCACCAATGCTGGCATTCTCTACGACAAAAAAGACTTCGTCATGATCCACAAGTATAAAAGTTTACTGCTGAATGTGCCGACCAGACATATCATTAACGATTTGCAGAATACGATCGATAATGTAAAGGAGCAATTATCAAAATTGCGAGACTTAGACGTGGTAAACTATTTCCTACTCGGCGACGAAGATTCTATCAACAAGCTATTGAATGTTGGGAACTCATTGAGCTTCACTGGACGAAAGTACGGTTGGTTCGTTTTGACTCTGAACGAAGAAATGTGGCCGAGCTGCGCGTGTGAGAACATTACCATATTGTTGCTGAAACCGGAAATGCCGACGGTGAGCGATGAAAATCAAGCAGAATCTGTTATAAAGGCAAAGTTCCCGAAACCGCTCATCACATCCGCCTTTTATTACGATTTAACTCTGTTGGGTGTCAGTGCGATGAAGTCCGCTTTGGACAATGGCGACTGGCCCTTGGAACCCTCTCACATCGATTGCAATAGCTATGATGAGACGAATACGCCGACGAGAGGTCTGGATTTTCTAGCTAAACTGATGGCAGTCTCAAAGAATATGACGCCAACATACGCTGGCATTAGTTGGGGAAAGAAAAATGGAGAACATCATATGGACTTTAAAATGATCATGTACATGATAAATATTGAACGAGAAAAGATTACGTTGAAGGAGGAGGGCGGAGATTGGCAGGCAGGCATCGAAATGCCCTTGCAGGTAAGTCCCAGTGCTTGAAACGAGATGTAACATGTTACGTGAAAATGTTGAAGGACGAATATATTAATAGATATACAAGGGCGTAGCCAAGGGTGGGCAGAGAGGACGCGTCCTCCTTTCTAAATTGTAAAGAACAGAAATAAGACCGCCTAAGCGGATTATGCTTAATGAATATTCTTAAGAAATTAATTTTAGAAAAAAGGAAAGTATTGGTGGTGAAAATTATAGAGATTTTCTAAGAATCCAAGACGACTAGTGTTATTAAATTTAAATTTTTCCAGTTCGAACAATCAGTTTCCAATTAAAAAAAAAAAAATAAAGTAAATTAGTAAATTAAATATATGTGCTTTAATAATTAATTAAAAATAATAATATAAACAAAATAATAAAAGTATAATACCTATCAGAGTCGACACAAATTGTTAAAATGTGTAAACATTCCTTTATTAAAATATCTTAGCAAATTTGATATACGTTTCGATCCTTCGGTTTGGGTCATTCACAAACATTAATATGTAATGTAAAATATAAAATAAAATTCTATCGTCGGGTTTATCTAATTTCCAAATTGATAAAATTAAATTGCG